AAACATTTGGAGTTTCACAAATTTCAAAATTTATATGTTATTTAATACTATATTAACATTAAACTATTAAAATTTATTGAATAATCAGATTTTTTGAATAAAATATTATTAAAAAAATTCTCAAAATTTCAAAGTAAACGCATTTTCCATTCTTATGTTTTCGGAAACAGTTTTTCAAAATGGCAAAACATTTTCAAAAATTTCAAAACAGACACCCGAAACACGAAACATAAAACGAATTCAAAACTCAAAACACAAATCTGAAACACGAAGAGAACGACCCCTTAATTTTCTTGTACTTTTTTGCCATCCACTCAACCAAATCAACCCTTCAACTTTTCCTCTTCTTTTTCTCCAGTTCAATAATCAGACTGATTTCAAGGCATTAGTTCCTACAACTACAACTAGTACATTGCCTTATTGTGTCAATACCTCGACTCTCAAACATTTTGGCATGTGGGTGCACCGATCCCTCAAATCTAAAGGTATTAAGTAGAATGAGTTGTTCGTCGGCTCGCATTACAAATGCAAACATCAAGTGAGTCGCTCATCGGCTCGTGAGCTGACTCGTAATCGAGTAGTAAAAATGCAATTTTAAGTTGGAAAAATACTCGCAGAGACAAGCCTGGTCGAAATTTTTGAAAAATAGTCAATCTAGCATGTGTTGACTCACATTATGGACCAAGCTGAACCAAACATGAATGAGCTAAACGCTCAACTCGACGCATTTAGCATCTGTATCCAACCCCAATCCAAAAACTATGATCCATTTCTCGTTCACTCAGTTCCACACTCTGGCTATGAGTCCGACTTTTAAGCGATAAATCATTCTACTGCTATAAATACATAAAGGCTGGCACACGTAACGATGGCCGCCATTAGAGTGTCATCGCTAACCCTCCTCGCTTCTACTTCTGCTTCTTCTTTTTCTTCTTCTTCCTCAGTTTTCACCAAGTTGCAATTTGGTCCCATTTGGGGTATTTCTCTTACAGCCGCACCTCTCTATTCCAAACGAACAAGGCGCATGGCTCACTCAATTGCTCGGGCTACACTTGGCCTCACTCAGCCTAATCAAATTGAGGCCGCTAAGGTATCTTCTCCTCCTATGTCGATCGCACACCCACTTTTTCGCGAATACATCCATTGACTTATTTCGGGTGTATCTCTTATGGTATTTTTGTGGGTAGTACTTTGATATTTTGAGAGTTCATATTGGGTGGACTACGGATAGACTAATATTAACGATTTTATTCTTATTTTCCACTCAATTGTAGTGAGTTACACTTGGATGTATCATTTACACGTGTGCTTATACATTCCATAGGATCTAGACTTTTGGAGTCTTGATTGGTTTCTTTGAATTATCGTCTGTACATATTTGACGTTTAGGGTATGTTTGAGCCCCATTTTATTGGGAAATATGTTTTGTAATAATGATTTTTTTTTTTTTAGAATGTGCGGTTAAAATGTAGGAAAATTTTGGGATTTACACGTAAGATTATTTCCATAAGATAGTGTCTTTGCGTTCTTGGTATAAAGTAATAATTTTTAATTTTTACAAGTTCTTAATATGCATCCGTTATAATTTTGGATGATTTATTTGTTTTATTTATGTCACGAGTTCATATTTTGATTATTTTTGCTCATTTATGAGAAAATTATATGGTTTTAGCATTCAATTTTTTGTTCATTTTCAAGCTAGTCATATGTGTTCTGTGTTCTGGTTCGAATTTTAATTGTGTATTTAAATATATGCAAGTGGATGTTTTGTGTGTCTGTTCAGTTTAGGAAATTAGTGGTTGTATCTTTACTGAATCTGATATTCATATTTGGAATGGCTGAAGATCTCGTTTGCTGCTAAAGAAATTGATTTGATAGAATGGAAAGGAGACATCCTTGCAGTAGGTGTTACAGAGAAGGACATGGCCAAAGATGAGAATTCGAAGTTCAAGAATTTCACATTGCAAAAACTGGATTCCCAATTAGGTGGTTCTTTGTCTGAAGCTTCAACTGAGGAGGATTTTAATGGAAAAGCTGGACAATCAACAATTCTTAGGCTTCCTGGACTTGGTTCAAAAAGGGTAGGTTTAGTTGGGCTTGGATCAGCAGCTGACCCAATGGCCTCTTATCGTAGTCTTGGTGAGGCAGTTGCTGCAGCAGCTAAGTCTGCTCTGGCAAGTAATATTGCCATCACACTTGCTTCTTCCGAGGGGCTCTCTACTGAAGCAAAGCTAAGCACAGCTTCCGCAATAGCAACTGGTACTTTTTTCTTGATCCTTTGAGTCATAAAAGTTGACATTCAATTTCGGGTTGTTAATTTTGGTGTTAAGCTTGGTCTAATATTTGGAGTACAACAGGAGCTGTGTTGGGGACTTATGAAGATAATAGGTTTAAGTCGGAGTCAAAGAAACCATCTCTGAAGTCAGTGGACATTCTTGGTCTTGGAACTGGATCTGAGATAGAAAAGAAACTGAAATATGCTGAAGATGTCTGTGCTGGGATAATTTTTGGAAAAGAGCTTGTCAATGCACCTGCTAATGTTCTCACTCCTGGTTAGAAATCCTGCAGCGTCTTTCTTATTCCTTTAGCGATTATTTTTTCTGCTTTACCTTTTAAGGGATAAATATCGTGAATCGTTATCTGTGATGCTTAAAATCAATGCTTTTATGAGCTCGCACTTCCTTTGGATCTTGGATAGAGTATATTTCCATAAATTTCATGGTGCTTTTATATCTTACGATTCACTTTTCTTATTTAACTTTGTTTACTTCCATACCGCAGCTGTACTGGCAGAGGAGTCCAAAAGGATTGCTTCCCTCTACAGCGATGTTCTTTCTGCAACGATCTTGGATGTAGAGCAGTGCAAAGAACTGAAAATGGGTTCCTATCTAGCTGTTGCAGCAGCATCTGCCAATCCTCCCCATTTCATCCATTTGTGTTACAAGCCTCCAGGTGGAGAAGTTAAAACCAAGCTGGCCTTAGTTGGAAAGGGGTTGACATTTGACAGGTTTGTATATGTTTCGGATTGTTAGGAGAAAAAAGGGCGTCTTACAGATACAACTGAAATGGAATATATTCTCTACTTGTTTGGGTTGTTTATTTGGTTTACGGTATCTTTTATGTTTCAGTGGTGGCTACAATATCAAGACAGGACCAGGTTGTTCAATTGAGCTCATGAAATTTGATATGGGAGGATCAGCAGCAGTTCTCGGTGCAGCAAAAGCTCTTGGTCAAATCAAGCCTGCTGGGGTAGAGGCAAGTCATTTCTTGGTGATCTATGTTTGAGGGGATAATATCCTTGTTGCATAACTTGATTTGTTTTCAACGTTTTATCTTTTTTTCATAGTTCTGTTTTCTCCTCTACAACCTGTTAAGCAGGAACATCTAGTAAATTTTTTTCCAAGGATTCAGTGATGGATAATATAAACATATCATTGTTCATGTATATTTAGGTTCATTTCATTGTTGCGGCCTGTGAGAATATGATAAGTGGAACTGGTATGAGGCCAGGAGACATTGTCACAGCTTCAAATGGAAAGACAATTGAGGTTAGTTCTTCATTTTAAGGCTATAGTCTCCAGATCATGGCTGGGTCACCATTTTGTTGATATAGTTCTTTATTTAATTTTGTGCTTATCTATCAGAATGGATGTGCTCAATTGGTTACATAATTTTTCTTCTTATCAGATTAATGGAAGAAGCAGAATTATCAAAAAAAAAAAAGAAATGGGTGCCAATGGGTTTTATGTCAACTGAAATTATGTATCTAGACAATGTATCTGTATTCTAATCCAGCTTCAATATACAATTTACTTCAAGTGCTGACATTACTTAGATGTTAAGCACTTTGGTCATCTTCCATGAGCATTTACATCAGAAATGGGTCTTTCTTTGTCTGCTTTGCACTTACATTCATTGTTTAGATTTGCCGTCTATTGAATTACTAACCATTATGTTATATATTCTTTGCTGGAAATGCATTACAATCCTTCCCCCTCCCCACTGCTGTTCAAATTTATGTAGAAATATTTTAATGCATCCTGGTGTTGGTTTTCTAGTTTTATAAACAAAATGTACCTGTATCTAAATTATGACCCTTTTAATTGAATATTGGGTCTTCATTATTAAAACTTTACTTATCCAACGCTTGGACCCCGGACTTCTGCGTGTTCCTCGAATCTGAATCTAGACTACATAATTCTTTTCTGAATGCGGTAGTAGGAGATTTTTATCTTCACTTGAGCATTAAAATCTTGTTTCATCACATTACTTTTGACTGTTCATTTTTGTGTAACTATTTCATCTCGAATCTTAATCTTAACAGTTTAGTATTTCTTTCATAGGTGAATAATACTGATGCTGAAGGCAGACTTACACTTGCAGACGCTTTGGTATATGCTTGTAATCAAGGTGTAGAAAAGGTATTTGAATGCATTTACTCTGGCACCTTATATTTTGGACAAATCTTATTTTGTGGGTTTCTTTTTCCCTTTTGCTTCATTTCTCATGTATTATAGGCACGTGTTTTTTCCTGGAATGACAACTAAATATACATGTATAATTGGCATGATATAATTGCTTGTTTCAAAAAAGTAATATCCTTGAATGACAGTTATGTACTGGCTCACGATTTGGATTTGTAACACATTTTAATTGCTATGCAGATAGTTGATCTGGCTACTTTGACCGGGGCCTGTATAGTTGCTCTTGGACCGTCTATTGCTGGTACCTGATTTTTAGTTTCTTTTGGTTATATTGGTGCCAAGAGTTTCCATGAAAATTTGAAAGTAATATCAAGCAGGCACTTGAGAGATTCTAGAATGATAGAAAAGATAAATGTAATATTAATAACACAGAAGATGAGTTTGTAGATCAATTATCGTAAGTTTGGGGTACAAATTTCTTTCAAACCTTGGTTCTTTTTGAACGAAATTAAGTCCACTACTTAACGCGTGTTCAAGATTTTCGAGTCTTATAAAATAGGTATTTTTTCCCTTATAAATCCACTGATATTCTTCCTTTCCAAAAAAATGAACAGGTGTTTTTACACCTAGCGACGATCTTGCTAGTGAGGTACTTGCAGCATCAGAGGTCAGTGGGGAAAAACTTTGGAGGATGCCTATGGAGGAGAGTTATTGGGAATCCATGAAATCAGGAGTTGCTGATATGGTGAACACTGGTGGCCGTCAAGGTGGTGCAATTACTGCTGCTCTTTTCTTGAAGCAGGTATGAGTCTTGTTTGTATTGGTTCTTTATTTTTCTCCCTAAATGGAGCAATATTTTATTGTTATTTAAGCTGGAAAATTTGTCTAGTATACGATTTTTACTGCAACAATTTTTAGTTCAGAAAGGTTCCAAATCTTTTTAGTCTACAAGACTACAATAATGCCCTGGTAAAATGAGTTTGATCGAGTCCAAGAAGCCATTTATAATGTAACCTATTTTGCAAAATAAGGTAAAAACCAAATGGAAAGAAAGAAAAGCAACAACTATTTTGTGTAGATAGTTTTGAGATGTTGAAGTTTGAACTCTTTCCTCTCGGTTTTGAAATGTTAAATGTAATAATCAAATAAGTATTGTACCATTAAGGTATTTCGCCTTTGTAATATTAAGATCAAACATCACTTGTTAACTTGACAATGAATAAGGGAGCTATTGTAAGAAAGTGACCTGATTATTTTAATAATGAGGTCGAAGGATTAGTTATTGTGGATATAAAACTTTCTTTTTCTCTACAGTTTATTTATCCTCTATTTACTTTATGTGGGACTTGCTTAATTCAAATTTCGATAATGCGTAGGCTCGCATTTCATTTGGGTTGTTTTGTCTCCTAGACTCAATTTACACTAGTGTACTCGTTATAATTAGTTGGCTGAGGAGGTGGTCTTTGGGATGATTTGGCTCAATTGACAGCCCTGGCTCCTGCTAGTTCTTGTACCCAGAGTCCCAGATTGGACACAACAGGGACAATAAGGATCAACTAAAATTTTACCAACAAAAATTCGAAAGAGTTCTAATTCTAAAATCCAAGTACCAGTTAAAAATTTTTGAGACGATGATGGAATGTGTATTTACCAAGGACCATGTTCCGTAATTTGTTTAATTCTAGCTGATCTGTCTTTATTAATCTAATTGGTGTTTTATTTTCTGGTAATATGATGATGTTTTCTTTTCTTTGTTTCCGTAGTTTTCTCCTTTATTCTAGTGGTAGAGGTTTAATAATTTATTTCAAGCTACAAATGTATGTGCCTTTGGTCCAGTATCTTCTATCTTTCACTAGAGTCTAGAGATGATTTCTTTCATCTTTTTATGAGTGTTGGTTTCCTAGGCTGTACTTGTCGACAAATCTGATAGCAATTGTTTTTCTGCAGTTCGTTGATGAAAAGGTTCAGTGGATGCATATCGACCTGGCTGGACCAGTTTGGAATGATAAGAAGAAAGCTGCAACTGGATTTGGTGTTTCGACCTTGGTTGAATGGGTGCTCAAAAATTCTTCTTAGTTTCAGATTTTCTATGCGGACAAAGTTGAGGAAACTAAAAAATCTTATTGAGATTGTTGAGCCTTGGGTGTTTACTTGTGAGAATAATGTTGGGTAGGCGAAAGAAAAATGTAGTGTGAAATTGAGTCATGGGACCTTCAGTTTTCTTTTGAATGCAGAAGATAACATTTAGGAGGCATAATTTATGTTATTAGCTCTGAGGAACCTCCATTCTAACTCTTCTTTGGAGATTTCATGCGCACAGGCAATTTTTTTTACATTTTTACTAATGAGATATCTTCGAGGCTTAAAACTCAACTTTACTGGCTTATATACATGAAATTTAAGCGTTACAGAGAAAGCACGACTGCCAAGTCTACTCAAGAAGCGGTCCTAGTTGTTTGTACATCGGCATATCTCACTTACTGTGTTCATTAGGCTGGTTATAATATCCCTTTTCTGAAATTATTATTTTTGTTACCAGTTTCTAAATGATGTAGTTTCATTTCATCTCTAGTTGTTTCAATCTTTTTCTACTTATAGGGATGGTTTTGCAGTTAGTTTTTGATCTAGTAGATGTTGGCTAGGTGCTTAATTTGGAGCTGTTCATTTTCCCCTTTATTTAGAGTATGTATGTTTGGCAGTGTTTTTAAGTACTTATTATAAGCTGTGCATTTTTCGGAATGTGTGAATAGTAAGTTGGTAGTAGTAGTTGTACGTCTAATGAAATGTCTGGATAAAGAATATATTTGACTTTATCGTTGAGGTGAATTACAGGGGTCTAGGTGGGAACCACGGAGGGGGACGGCTCATTGGGGCAGGCAGTGAAGGTGGGCTATAGGGAGGGGAGGCAGCTGGTGCTGGGGCGGGAGGAAGGGATCGTGGTGGGTTGCACGGAGGCTGGCAACTAGACTTGGGTTGGAGATTAGAGTAGACGACGAGCCTCACTTTTTTCTACATTGGTAAGCCAAATTTAATTCGCCAAAGCGTGCAAGGAATGTCGAGTCTGTATGACACGTCTAATTTTGGAAGTACGAAATTCAATCCAAATTACACCTAGAGGGGGGTGAATAGGTGTAAATGCGGACTTAATAAATTATAATTAATCAGCAATAAGTCACTAATTGATTATCTCTGGATGATTATGCAATTAGTTCAATTATCGTATGTTTGAATACCACAGAATATAAAAATAGCAAAAGCAATAAACAACGCACGGTATGATCACTTAGAAATTCCAACTGGGTAAAAATTTTGGTCACTTTATCAGTCAACAATCTACTATAAACGATTTATAATTTATAGTCTACCAGACTAGACGACGACACGTAAAATCTGATCTTCTGACTGCAATTTCAACAACTATCCTGAATTTTGTGCTCATGCACCAACTCTCAGCTGCAGTTTTCAAAACTCTCCTGGATTGCGTTTCTCCAGCAACTCTCAACTTTGTGAAATCGTCTATCTCCTGTGGATTCACGAAGAACGCCGCGTTTTTCAACGACTTGAACTCTAGTTACTTTTCCTTGATCTTCAGAAATTCTGACGGATATGAAAGAAGCAGCAGTTTGGTATTTAGATTATGAAATTAATGTTTTTCTCACCGCCAAGAGCAGATCATTATGTGAATAACGAAGGTTAAAGAGAATATGAAAAGCTAAGTATTTGCTCCATGATCAACCCTCACGGAAATCGTTCCGTGGCGTTTGGTATTTATAGGTTAGGTTGAGGAACGAATGGGTCGGACAAGAAGCCTTTAAAAAACGAATTAAAAAATTCCTGGATAACACTGTTGCTCAAGCGAAGGCGAGGCGACAGGTGAGCGACGCAGTTTCTATTTCTGTCGCTTGAGTCAAACCTTGGCGATAAGCTAGCTATATTCCGGCGCTATTTTTCCGTATTTTCCATTCTCGAACCCTAGACCTAATTTACACAACTTTCTACTATTTGCACATTACTCCTTGACTTTTACAATATATCAATTTAAGTCCCTTTTATTTACAAACTTATTAATTACATTAAATACCTAACAAATTTATTGCTTAATTTTTCAACATATTATTAGGACACTTTCATTCACCTTGGCCGTGACTGTAATTAATACAGAACACATTTTATGTATTTCTATAAATTAAGGTTAATTCATAGTTACAAAGTTAAAACAATTTCTTTTAATTTTCAAAGAGATTCTGTCTTTAACCGTGTCGCAATATTAATGAAACAATCTTGGCATTCTAATTTGATTATTATGGTCATTGTTCTAAAAAAGGGGAAAACGCGCCGCCTAGGCGCGACGTACGACCAAAACGCGTCGAATTCGAGAAATGCGGGAAAAACGCGTTTTCCAACTAAAAGGCGCGCCTAGACGCGCATTAGGCCGTCTAATCCNTTTTTCTTTTTTTTTTAAATCTGTTTTTTTTTATATATTAAAAAATTTTTTTTTTTTATATAAAAATATATTTAATGCCTTAAAAATACGAAACGCATTATGACGCTTATTCTTCGCATTGACACGCCTAAACTTGTGATTCTTGATTCTCGGCCTCGATGCTTCGCAACGCATTACGCATTTTAGAACACTGATTATGGTACATTCGACCGATATAGCAACGCTATTAGGGTTTGCCTATTGATGGACAAAACTTGCTTCATATAAATACAGAGGAAAACAATTTTGTAACGTCTACTCTTGTTTATTAAGGTATACTAGTAGACGACATTTAAGAGGAAAAACAAGTAGGAAAGAAAGGAGAAAGTACGACTTTCAAGCTTGTCTCCTCGTTGCCTTAAGCCAGAGACCTGATCGGAGGAGTTGAAAGGGATCTTGACTAAGGTCAAAAAAAGGTCTTGTCGACCTTACCTCTAATCTTTAGTCCTACTCAATAACATGAGCCAAGACGCAGGTTAAAACATCTTTTGGCCATCAATCTTGCTAAATGTATTATTTTAGTCAATGAATTTCGTTTGATAAATAGCTCCTCACATACAAATTAGTAAATTCAACGATTTTATTGAAGCATGTATAGAGGCCCGTGTGAGGTGGGATTCATAAAGTCAAGTGCAATCATTTAGGAGATTTCGCAAGTGATCTCATTATTTCCATTTCTACGAAAAAAGTTCATCCCCTTATTGTCTTACTGACCGACCTCGACCCCTATTATTTTAAGATCATATCCAGCTTTTAGAATTTTTCTCGATTTGGTACGGCTCTTGTGACCGGTACTGAAACAGTATTTTACTCGTAGATGTCAATCAACTGTTACACCTCAATGCATTCCGAAAACAATCAGCTAACTCTATCTTTGAGTAGGATAGGACATTAATAAAGTCGAAAACGTTCTTCAACGTTTCTTAAATCCATAAATCAGCATTAATAATAAGACTGCACGGAATGGTAAAGCTGAGAAAGGTACAAATGAGACTGAAAGTTACAAACATTGGAAAAGTGAAATGTCAATCTTGCTTCTACTTCTTCCTTGAAAAAGCATTCAAAATTGGGTAACCTCAACTCTGACCCAGAAACATCAATTCTTGCCTACATATGAAACCAACAAATTACCCTTTTTCAAGAAATTCATTTCTAGTTTGCTCCGAAGTCCCATAAATGAATTGTAGCATTAGCAGCAGAACATGCAGCCACATGCCTTTCATTTGAAACTATGGCATTGCATTCACCTATTCTCTCCCGAAAACTGTACAAATATTGTCCATGCACTATCTCCCAAACCCTAATAACTTCCCCTACACACATTAGAGCATATCCACCATTGACACTTCCCAAAATCCCCCTCTGGGTGGCACCCCTTACTGTGAACCTACATACTTCTTCCAAAGTTGCCACCCGACGCACACTTGCTCTGCCGCGAATGTCCATGATTAACATTGATTCATCATAATTGGCATCAAAAGAACCTATAATGATTCCCCTACGTATTTCTTCTTCTCCTAGTATTATCCCCACATTTCGCAAATCAAACGCCATAACCCTAACGTTTGTGCATGCCACAGCAGATTCATGACTTGTTACTCTAACTCGACCGATCAGATTGGTCAATTCGTTGAGCAAATGCCAACCCATTACCGCTTCTGGATCTGTTAGTGAACCTCCAACAAATATTAGCTCTTCCGTTTCACTGTTCCACACGTGAAAGGCACGATCCGGAACACCTGGAGAAGGATTGAAAATTGCAAATAAATAAGTAAATGAATAATAATTAAAAGGTAACCCCAATAACGGTGTCTTTGTTAAGACATCACAAAAACACGTGCATCTTTGTTAAGTACCTGCATAGAGGCCAACCCACCACTGGTTACAACCGGTGAAGTCGACTAAAGCACCATCATTGACCACATCACCTAGATGGACTCTACGTAGAGGATTGACACCGTCGATACTTACGAGATGAATGTCACCGTCCAGGGTGGCAAAGACAAGTTGGGCGTCCGATAAGATAATTCCAGATATTGCACAAGCAAAGCGACCGAGGCGATCACGGGGCTGAGGATAGAAGGTTGCAAGTTGGATCCTGCTAGGAAGGTGAAATAGGTGAACTGATCCATCCGAGAATCCAGCCGCAAGGTGGTTGTCAGAGAGTGCCAAGCGACGACATGCAAGACCATCGTTGTTATTATTCCGATCTGAAGGGACAAATGGAAGGCCTGTGTATACATATCTACCTAGATGGAAATTGTTGGCTGTCTGATGGCGGTATATGTACTCCTCGTGCCAAGTATTATGTAGAAGATGCCTAATATTCCATATACGCCTCGTGAGGTTTTGCCATAGCAGTTCGGAGTGCGAAACTGCTCGCCAGGTAGAACACACCTAAAATTAGCCAACACACATCATGAATCAAGCTTTATAACTAATAAATAACAGAAAAAAAGAAAACCATTGAAGCTTTACTATCTAACTTGTTTGGAAGACGATGTATATTACATGCAAGCACAAGTCTGCTAAAAAAAATCTTATTAATGTCATTGTCTGAAGTTAAATTGTTCGATTTTCCTGCTAACAACATAATAATAAAGATATCACTTTCAAATGTAAATAACATGAATGAAAGAACAGCTTTCGATGGCCATCTCAAAACGGTATAAAAAATTTCCACGTCTAACGTCAATTGTCGAAGAGAGAGCCCAGAAGTAAATAGGAATGAGAATTTAATACAATGTTGGCACAAAAATGCAAAAGAGTTAAAGAATATTAAGGATAAGAAGCCTATGTAACAGATTGATATTTTTTGATACCTTGATCATTAGGAGATTGATATTTAAAAATAACATACATCATATGTATGTTGCACTATTTTAACATTGGTTCACAACTATTCTCTTCACAATCTTCACGTACCAGAGCTCTTGGTGCTTCACAATGGCCAATCCAAACTCTCTCCATGAATGATTACTCTTTTCTCTACCTCCTTCACTTGTCCTCGTGTTATTCTCTTGAGAGTAATCGTGTCTTAATCTCCATTAAATTATTTACTCAACCCCTTTTGATACTCACATCAACCAATTACACCTTGTGGAAGTTTCAACCACGTGCACACCACGTAGGCTATGGTTTGATTGATTTCATCGAGATATAAACCAACCCTATCTCCACTCATTTAACTGACGATGAAGAAATGGTATATCAAAATCATTCCCTATTGATTTGATCTATTTGATGCTATTATTTGCTTCTTGTTTTCTCACCATTCATAACCAACCAACTGGACTTCAATTTTGTTCATGAAATTTTTTTGCAGTGATGAGCTTTACATTTCTCATGTGTCCTCATCTACCAACTTGTTGATGCACTTACCAAACCACTATTCCGATTATGTCTTGAACAATTTCATGTCAGGATAGGTGTCCCCCAAAAAGAGAACCATCTCAGCGAGAGATTGAGAATAAAATCTAACTTCCAATCACCTTGTTTTTAGTCATTTTTATACATTTTTTAATCTTTTTACCTTAATTATAGAATTTTTATAGCATTCATACATTGTCATCAGTGTGTGTGTTGAAGATATGGAAAGATTGTAGATAATAATCTTCTATGATATTTCCCCAATTGTGTGGGATTAATTTTTTTAATAGTTGATTGTGTGATCACACAATCTTTCCTTTTTACCCCATGTTTGAACCACATTAAAATTTTCATTTTCATTCTTTACTCATTTTCAACTACACATTCTTTAATAAAATAATATTTTTCATTATATCAATAACTTTTCCTTCTTTTTCAACCACACATTCTCCATCAATCTATTATTCCAAAATATATTATTTCAAAATAATGTGGCTCAAACACATCATTAGAGTCATTTATAGCCCTATAAATAGGGTATTTTACTTTGCAATAGAAACACAAGTTTATTATATACAATTTACAATATTTTAATATGGTATAAGAGCAAGTTTAATTTCATTTTGGGTTAAACTTGCAAGCTTTCATTTTTCGGCCAGCGATTTCGAGCCCCGCTCGTCCGATCAAATTTTCTTGTTTTGACTAGATATCCTTGTCTAGCCAAATTCTTTTTCCATTTTGTTATATATTATGTCCATAATCTATCCAGCCAAGTGTTCTTTTGTTCTTGATTTAATCTGAATTTAGATCTAAGATTAATTCAAATCATATTCGATGTTGGCTATTCTTGTTGCTTCCTTCTTAAAGAGAGTTGGTTTTTGAGGAAATTGAGATTTAATTTTGTAACTTTATTAGATCTATTGATGCTAGAATTATTTTGAAGAAAATCACGTTATTTTCACATCGAATTTATGTTGGTATAACCTCCTCGTGCCAGGGTTCCTGTTTCATCAATCTTTCCTTCATTTGTAAGTGTGGTACTAATACTATCCATGGATTTTTGGTGCTACTATTAAACATGGTCTATCCTTGGTCTGTCTAGTTATTAACATCGTTTGAGCTTGCTTCTTGTTTTGGCCTTGTTCGTTATACTTGTGTCTCTTCAAGTCTTTGTCATGGTTTAGTTATAGATTGATGGATGACAATTTTTCTCTCACAAACTTTAAGTTCTTTGTTTGGCTTGATTGACATGCAAACAATTTTGAAGCATCATTTGATCCTTGGAAGAGGAAGATTTAGTTAGATCAATATAATTTTCAAACTCAATTTGATTGTCACCACACCATATTGGGTTTGAGAGATGGTGTTGAAGATATGAAAAGATTGTAAAAAAATAATCTACATGATATTTTTCCAATTGTAAGGATTATTTTCCTTAATAGTTATCCCACAATCTTTCCTTTCTAGAGTTATTTATATCCCCATAAATAAGGTCTTCAAATTTGTTATAGAAAACACAAGTTTAGTATATACAATTTATAATATTCTAACAGTGTGTTTGTTGTAAAAGTTTAATTGAATGAAGTGAAATAGTTCTCTACAACTCCCTTGTGTTAACTGTGTAATCTTCACAAAGAAGAGATGAAGAACTAATAAGATTTGAAATACACTTCACTCTTGAATTTCGCACCTTTCTATTCCCCCCTTGTTAGATTGAGGTTATGATCCTATATAATAAACTAGGAGTATGTTTCCTCTTTCTCCTTGTACTGAATAAACATAAAAGTAATTTTACTATCACAATTTCTTTTTCATCAATACCAATAAATCCTAGGTATCAATTATCTGTTTACTAACGCAAGAGTGGGGTAGAGATTATAAACTGATGGATTACATACCACCAAATAAAAGAGGGATGATAAATAAATCATTTAGAATTCAATCGACTGCTTAACCAATATTTTATTTTTTAAGTGTTTTGAAGTTGAATCTCTCTAGCAGCTGGGCAAGGTATATATATATATATATATATATATATAGCCAACAATGTATTCATGGACGATGAACACACTACGAATCTTCCATTAGTATGCATGGACTCGTGTCCATCTACTGGTACATATAAAGCACACAAATATGTAGCAAATTAAATTCTTATTTAGAAAGAACGACCATTGAGTAGGATTAAAAAAGACACAGAACGTACAAATTTACCAAGTTATGAGGACAAGACTATAAAGAGAAACATTGCAAATCTTGAACCATGAAAGAAGGTTCTGACTTGGCTAAATGAGTTACTGAACTTAAAATCTATATATCACAGGGCTCCAAGTAAATTCCTATTGGAAGACTGGTAACCTAAGTCTTAGACAACCTATCCAAGTTCTACCAAAAGATTGTTTTACAGTGCAAATATTCATGATAGGTTAAGGTTAAAGGTTTTCCTTAAGAATAAGTAGCTTTTTAAGGAAGTTAGTCTCCTAAGAAGTGAAACAAAGAGCTTTTGTATGGAAATTAATCCCCAACTTACTGCTAGAATAAGCTACACGAGAAAAAAAGGAAAATATTTATACATAAAATAATAGACAGTTACAAGTAATTAAAAGCAACTTTAATTATCAGTTGAGCGGGTTGTCAAAATGAGGTTTTTCAAGATAAAATTATAAAAATTGTGTACATCACACCTGAAAATATAAAATGTTGAACACATTACAATTTAAAGAAATAGATATAGCCCCTGTTTGGCCCCCCCATTATTTTGCATTTTTGATGGTTGAAAATTTTTGGAATAGTGATTGATGGAAGAATGTGTGGTGGAAAAGTAATGAAACGTTTTATATTTGTGTGTAATATTATTTTATTTGATGAATTTGTGGTTATAATGAAGATAGAGAAAAAATTAATCTAATGTAATTTAATGGGGACCAGAGAGGGGCTTAAGTTATTTAGCCCCTGTTTGGCCCCATTATTGTGCATTTTTTATGGTTGAAAATTTTTGAAATAGTTATTGATGGGAGAATGTGTGGTGAAAAAGTAGTGAAAAATTTTAGATTTGTGTGTAAGATTATTTTATTTGATGAATGTGTAATTGTAATGAAAAGAGAGAAAAATTTAATGGGGCCAAACGGGGGCTTAATATTCGAAATCTAAACAATCACTCCTTCCTTCAAGGCTTTATATTGGATTTGTTTCAATTTTGACCTACTTTTCTAATATTTTAATATTTCTTTTTTCGCAACCTTGGGAACTCCTAAATCAGTGCTGAACCTGATCACCACATAAAAGCAATGTCCAATTCCAAGAATTCTGATACAGGCATGCTAGATCCCACTTGATCAAAAGTCCATTTTCATTATTTATCAACAGTGGAGGCTGAGTTCCATAATCATGCCTTGCTCTCTCTCACACATACAGACACGCACTGGTGGAGAGAGAGAGAGAGACTGTTACCAGTCGGGCAGATTTCAGACAGAGAACCTAGGCTGCCTAGCCTATTTCTGCTCATATAGAGAGATATATAGAACCTAGGCTGCCTAGCCTATTTCTGCTTATCATGAAAGAGAGAGTCAGAGAGTAGTCAGGTGGACATAAAGTGTGTAGTTTGTTCGAGCTGTCTTATAGCCTATAGATTTGTTCTGGTGTCTTCTTATATATCCCTACTATCTATACTGTACTGACAACTTCCCCTTAAAAGTTGCGATATAGGTTAAAAAAATAAGGTTCACATGTACACTAAAGTACAAATCTTTACTTCATAGCTATCTCTGTATGAAGAAATAAATTCAAAGGGTTACCGGTTACCCGAAAGCATACAAACAAAAGTTTTGTCCAATCTTCTTTAATTATAAGTGTGACCAAATGAAAGTACAATCTGATGAAAGCGAAATGAGTATTTTTCTGCCGCTAAGATTTCAAGTTTCTTGTAAGATTATTAGCTACTTTTTTCGGATGCTGAGATCCCTTCTCATAGAGCAGTGCCATCAAGTTAAAGGGCTCGGTCCTTATCAATAGTTTCAGAGTCATGTCATCGAAGCATAAAGCATCCAAATAAATATATGGAAAGAATGACTTGGAAAGTCAAGTCAAAAAGTAGAAAATGAATTTATAGAGCTCAAAAGGGGTATAATAAAAGGGAAAAGAAGATTCAAAGAACCAAAAGACCCCTTTTCTATGTTAAAAGAGTATCTGAGACCATTTTTCTTAAAAATGAGTTTTGTAATAAAGTAATAGTGATTTTTTTTTTGAAGAATATGGGGCTAAAAAATAGAAAAAGTTTTAAATTTATGTGAAAAAATATTTTATTCAAAGAACGTGTAATCAAAATCAAGAATGAGTTCGAATGATTTGTAGAATAAAAAAATTTGTTTGAGAATAAGGGTCAATCGGTAATAAGATCTGATAACTATGTTCAAGAAAAGGAAGCACGAAAAGGGACAATTCTTTATGTTCAATCAAACATAATTACATAACTTACACAGATGCATGTATATAAACAGAAAATGAAGTGGGATGGGTAACATGGGGTTGGTGGGGTGAACCTGAAAGAGGTTGAAGAGAGCTTGTGCTGCAGCCAGGCGGCCAATAGAGCTAGAGGCATCAATGGCAACTTGGAATGCAAGCGCTTCCACAAAAGGTTCTGGCCATACTCCATTGCTTGAGCGTCTACGCGTACGAGATGATGAGGGTCCTTCAAACTCACCACCACCACTGCCGTCTCCTTCTGTTGAAGATGATGTCGACATGAATATGTGTAGGAGGAGTAACGGACGAAACTGCAGATTGGAGACAACGAAAGGAAGCAGAAAAGAGAGAAATAGACACACAGAGGGACCCAAATGTGACTCTGCGAAGATCTAGTAATGAAAGTACCTCGCAAAGCAAACTTGCTTTTAAATTAAAATTAGACAAAAAAAAGTAATTAAAGTTTACCTTTAAAGGTAGTCAAATACGATCCAAATTTCATTAGTTTATGACAGTCACTTCATTGAACAACCCATTAAGTTCGGTCTTGAGAGATGATTCATGATACCATCTATAAGTTCTAGTGAGCAACTGCATTCTCGAACTTGGTATCTTGAATTTATTGTCCCGCTACATTTTTACACTTTAATACGTTATCTCTTCTGAGGAGACGAAGAAACGTTAACTTAACAATGTTTTGATTTATCAAAAAAAATTAATAATATAAGCAATGTGATGTGACGATGTATTAAAAAATATATTAGAAAGACAATTAAAGAAACGATAAACTTGTAACAATGTATCGAGATTGAGAAACTACCATAAACAATACATTGATGATAATAAGTTTATAATGATAATGTTGCAATGAGTATTGACTTCATCAAAAAGGAAAATACCTCATAAATAGAGGTATTTATAGCAATTTTTTCTATAATAAATACCATTTATTTTGACATTTTTCTTGTAAATTAGCTCATTTTCCAACCACCTTGATAATTCCACCTCACAAGCTCCTTTCACATACCTCATTTACATCAATATAGATTGCCTCCATCATAAGAGCATCGTTTTGTATATTTTCTATCTAATCATGTTTGTGTTCTCAACTCAAGTGACATATATAATTACAAAAAATAAATTCAAAATGAAAAATAATTTCAAGATCATATTATTTCAAATAATTACATAACTAAATAATAATTACAAAAGAGAATACTTTTTGTGATGAAGAAATTTCGAAGTTGTAGTAACTTTTTCTAATGATTGCAAAACAATGTTATAAATATATGTACGAGCGCTTGATTCATACAAAAAAATTATTTTCATGCATACATACCAATACACAAAAAGGGCGATAAAAAAATAAATTTATTTGACAGTAGCAATATTAGGACGCGACATCAACTTGAAATACAAAGCATACCTGAATTCCCAACTTGAATGGCCGTGTTGAAAGTTTGAGATTTCTTTGACATAGGCATGGATTGTGCTAATGGAGGGGCAATAGAGGAAGAGAAGGCGGTATGGATTTGGGAAATTAGGAAATTTTAGAAACTAAGAACACGGGGTTAAGTCATTTTGTGTGAGTCAAAAGTGAAATGTGCGAGGAAGAGAAGTTTTGAAAAAGAAATTACGCGCCTGAATTTGAAATAATTTTAAATGTAAGGGAGGCAAAAGATTATTTTGTTAGAATTAATGGTATTTATGAAGTAACTTAATCTTGACAAATAACATAAACATATAAACATAATTGACATATCGTAGTAAAAAGTATTATGTTATCGAAAATATCCCATTGTAAAAATCTCATCAAGAAAATACCAAATTTTGTAGTGAATGCAAATGTACTGATATTTGATTTTAGCACAGTTCTAGAATAATGTTGTCTTTTTATCGTTTGTATCCTATAATTGAAGGGAAGAAAATTTTTCTGCAAGCTTTTGATGACTAAATGACTTTTGCCCAGTGAAATATTTATTTCACCTGTTGCAATAACTTTTTTGGGCGATATGATTATTTATTCATACTTAGAACCTGTTAGTTAAAAATAATAATTCTATGATCTATCTTTATGATTGCATAGATTTTATTGTGCAACCAAAGATTTTTTTCAGCATGCAATTTTTTCACTTTAGGTGTAAATTCGAGTGTGATCTAGTTAAATATGGACAATGTTTAACACTTTTATGGGTCATTTGATCAATAATTCAATATTGTGTGATTCGCCAATTTTTTTCACTTTAGGCGTAAAATTGAGAGTATTATAGTGAAGTCCATGTTTGAGCCATATTAGAATTTTCATTCTCATTCGTCTACTCATTTTCAACAACATATTTTTCAATAAAATAATATTTTTCATCACGTCAATAACTTTTCCTCTTTTTTCAACTACACATTCTCTATCAATCTGTTATTCCAAAATACATTTTTTTAAAATAATGTGTCTCAAGCATACGCTAAATATATATGAACAACATTTAACACTTTAACTAGTTGTTGGGCTGGTTTTCCAGTCAATGCGTGGGTTGGTGATGGTGGTGTTTTAGTGTTTGTTGTGTGTTGTTTGGTGGTGTGTTGGATGATTGGTTGGGTTGTGTTGTGGTGGTTTTTGGTTGTTGTTGGTTAGTGGTGTGGTTTGTTTGGCAGTGGTGAAGTCTAGACAATGCCCGGTTCCTTGCGTGCGGGGGTGTTTAAGTGTCGAGTGCGTAGTTGGCTTTATGTAGGGTTTTTCTTGCCTTGGTAAAGTTGCAGATGTTTTCGACTTCTATTGCCGTTGTTTGGATGGTGTCTGTTTAGGGTCTGTTTGTTTGTGTTTGTTTTGTGTCCTGTGTTGTTGTTTTTCTGTTGTCTTTTTTTGGTTGGTTCCTTGATTTTTGTTGGCTTTTCTCTTTGGAGAGGGCCGAAGTTTAGACAATGCCCGTCATCTGTGCGAGGGTGCTATAGTGCTGATTGCGTTAGTTGACTTGTAGTCGGGTTTTCCTGTATTCATAANTAGTTGTTTGGTCAATCTATTTGTTTCTATCATTTTCTTTGTTTCTAAGATATTCATATATTTGTGTAGTCGAATATAAAAAAAAAAAAAAAGGGAAAGCTAAATAGTTTCAAGACCAACAATATTGCTATGGAAGCCTAAAATTTATCTATTGAAATGTTTTTAAATATATTAATTTAAAACCATTTTAGGCAAAAATAAAAATTAAACAAAAATAAATGTTTGAATAGCCCCTACCGAACCAGAACTTCAATGATAAAAAGATGTGTTGTCCCAATTAGAAATAAATGCCTTGGGCTAGAGATATCACAAGTACATAAGCTTCATGTGGCGATTTTTCTATTTCACACTATATCCAAACTTAAAATATTTTGTTAAATTCCAATTTCATTTTTTCATATATTTTTCCTCCTATTTGACCTTCATTTTTCGTCAAACGTATTTTTAATCATACATTTTATAAGATTTATAATTTTTATCAATTTTTTAATCACACATTTTATCAACTTCTATCAAAATTTACTAAATATCTTACTTGTATTTAAATCAAACAAGGGCTAAGTCCTGTTTGAACTCATTCTTTAAAGTTTATTTTTTTCCGAACTCATTTTTAATAACACATTTTTTTAATAACATAATTTTGCACGTAAAAAAAAAAAATTTCATACTTTTTAACTATGCATTCTTAAAAAAAATTTAAAAAATCAGATTTTTAATATTTTTTGATAAAAGTTGATAAAATATGTGTCGATAAGTTATGGATTCAATGAAATATGTGATTACATTATAAGTGTGTGATAAAAGTTGAATTTTAAATCACTTTTTAAGGAAACGAAACAAGTACTTAATTTTGTTGTATTACGATCGAAAGGATACATTATCTAAAAAATTTATTTTTTAACAAACACATTTTTAACTATATATTTTCTTATGAGATAATTTTATACGTAAATTAAAATAAAATTATACTTTTTAATTACGTATTCTTCGAAAGAATAACTATTTAAAATAAAAAATGGATCCCAAATATAGCTTTTGTCTCCAAACAAATAGCAAATAGTTAATTGTAGTTAAAAAACTGTGTAGCCGTAACTTTTTGACTGGGGAAGTGGGGTCCAGAGTGTGGCATGCTACTGTCTTTTCCAAAGATTGGGCTGTCTATCTGTTTTTAGTCAATAAGAATATTGGAATGAATATTGTATTTTTTTTTTTGGGGAAGTACAACTTTCTGAAGCATGACTGCCATAGAAAAAAAATAGTCAGAGGTCATCAGGTGAGGCCTAGAGCATATGTAGATTCAATAGACCCCACCTACTTCTTACTTCCTTCCAATGACTTGTCTAAGTCACTGTAACCCTAGCTCCTCCCTCCCCCAACAAGCACCACTCTTTTAAATTATTTAAATTATAGTGTAAGGGTTTCTTTGCACCTTGTTTGAGCTCCCAACTTGTTCAAAAAATACATTTTGTAATAGTATTACGATAAAAAATATATGGTTAATAAATAAAAAAAATTTAAATTTACGTATAGTATTATTTTATTGAAAAATATGATTGAAATGAGGTTAAATCACTGTTCAAAAATATATTTTGATAAAAAAAAAATGAGATTCTTCAATCAAAATATACTAAATTTTTTTTATCGAAAGCCTTTTCAAGCAAACCCTAAATTATATCATCGATTGAAATTTTTTAGTGGCAACTATACTTTGATCTTTGTTTCTTTTGGACTTGCAAAATTTCGATGATGCAATAAAACGAAATCTTATGTTTTTAAAACTATTTAGATTGACAAATAAAATTTTATGTCAAAAGAGTCGGTAGAGATTAAAATTAGATTTTTAGTAAATTTTGATAAAAAATTATAAAATGTGTGATTAAAAATTGTGGTATCATGAAATATGTGATTAAAATCAATTATTGATTTTAATTTAAATCATAATCTAAATTTTAGTCGGTATGACATCAACTCAGTCAAAAAGATGACTTCCACCATCTGTGACCTATTTTTCAATAATAGCAGAAGATAGAAATTGGAATGGGATACGAAACTAATTCCTTATCTCTGCACAACTAGATAGAAGTATAAAATACAGTAAAATACAAGGAATGCCTCCAAACTCTATATTACACACATTGTTATTTTTCTAAATGATATCAAATTCAGAGTTTGGACCCAGATTTTTTAAAATTGATATCAATTTGTTTCAGAATAAGTATTGAAAGTCATTGCTTGCCAGATGCAGTAATTTCTTGTCAAACTTGTTGTGAAGTTGGTAGTTTTTAC